TTGTAAAGTATTTAATATACTGCAAATAGAGAACAGAAAAATGAAATACACTTCTGTACATTTTGCACCAAACAGTATTAAAGTTAAATATAGGAAAGAAGTCACCAATGTAAATGTTTATACTTAATGGCAACATTTCCGTTTATTTTCTCTACATTGCACTTAGTGCTAACATTGTTATTTTTACCATTATTATACTGTAGGGCATTTCCTTAGCTGGAAATTGTGGAAAACCTTATTTTTGAGACTTGCTTTGTGATTATAAAAAGCAGTCTTTGAGATAAGCCACTGTGTGTATGTCTGTTCATAAGCAAGAAAAGAAATTATGCTTTCCTGCATGGTTAAACTCATTGCCCCCTTAATGGATGAATTTTGGGTCTTATTAAGGCTGCTGGTCATATGTGCATATTTATGACCCATTTAGTTTGTAGATACAATTGGCATACATGATAACCAACTTGTCAAAATACTTCTACATATTTACAACAGACTGATTAATGTTTGAAATGTTATTAAGCAAATTAACTGGCTACCATACAATGATTTTTTTTTCAGAAATTAATTTCTATATTTTTCACTTTCATGGAAATAAGACATTACAGGAAATATATCAATATATCTGGCATGATAAACATTTTCCTTCACTAAACATTACATTTCCATTGAGAAAAGGCATAGGGATAATTCCTAAAGGATTAAAGAATTAGCAAAGAAATAATGCTGCTCAGAAATACTTGTACTGGTTCTGCTAATTCCATTGATGGTGACCAATATATCTTAAAGCAAACAAACAAATCAAGCCAACAACAACAACCAAACAAAAACATGATAAAACAACACTACCACCTCAACTGCAGTGTCTTAAGCAGTCAACAATTGCTGTTTGCCAAGCAGAGCTAGAAAAAAAAGAAACCAAGAGAATATGATGGCCAAAAAAACAGAAACACATGAAGAGGGCTTAAAGGGCCTGTTTGTCAAACGGTTTTTCTTAACATGCTAATGTCATATTTGTGATTAAGATTCAGTGAAATAAACTTGCTCATATGCCACTATTTTGTACTGCAATGGAGAGTGGAAAAAACAGTATGCATTATAAAGATGCATCTGTAACTAACATGAGAAAGCAAACAATTATTTACAATTAAAATCTATTATTAGAATTATGATTAAAGATGCAACTCTTCAAGTTGCTAAGGGATTCCTCTTAGGCACTGAGCTTTCCTTATCTTTGTCTTTCTTTACTGGAAGTCAGTAGTATCCAGGCTTCTCACAGGCAACATGCAGCACCTGGAGGGTTCAAATATTAAACCTGTGACGCAGAAAAACACTTGCTTAAACTCATCCCATTTAGCAAAACACTTCTGTACAGCTTTAACTTTTGGCAAGTGATTAAGATCTATAGAATATTAAGAGATTTAAATATTTGTTCACCATTAAGTAGATATGTTAGTGCTTTACTGAATAGAAGAGAATTGATAAATGTAAGGCTAAAAGAATATTCAGAGTAATACCATGCAAAATAAGACAGAAATAGGAGAAAAACTTGTGAAAGATCTTCTTAAAAAGGTGATGGCAAAATGCCAGAAGTCTACTGAATACAGAATTTAGTTCTAAACTTCGTATAAAACACTTGATGACAAGAAGGAGAATTACAAGTTGTTTGCAGTTTTCTCCATGGAAGGTCTCCTATACAGTGCTGTATCGAACCAGATGGTTTTGAGAACTCATAAGAAATTCAATGCACTACCTTAAAAAGAAAGTATCAAATAATAAGAAAGAAAACAACTTGCACTCACTGGGGTACACCAGTTAGTCATGTAAGTAGAGACTTTATTTCCTGACTAATATATTTTAGATATACAAAAGTATCAATTACCACTTCTAATTACACTAATGGAAGTTAGTATTGCTCTCATCTCCAGTAACTTAGAGAAGGTACATTCTGCTGTGCCCATTTGTTTGTTCTAAAACTTTATACACCTTCTAATGTCCCCTTAGAACAAAGGGAACTGCCAATGAGTAAATGTAGCTGTAAAGATTTCAACTAGTCTCCCTATCCTGGTAATGTCAATATGCCACTGGTTCTATTTCACATGTACAGCCGAACTATGAAACAATCTGATATACACCACATCAAAACCCTTTAAATGCAGCTGCTTCATATTTCTCTCTAAATAAAGTGCTGAACAAGAGCTCCACACGGTTTGGGTGTGAAAAATCCTCACATATTTAGCCTGATAAACTAAGAATGCTCCCCTGTCAATGTTTGAGAAGTGAAAAGTCTACATATTGCTTACACAAATAAGTCTTAATGTCCCATTATGCAAAAGTGTGAACAAAACTATACAAATGTCACTCAGCAGCAAGCTGGCAAGTACACATAGGAAAGCAGTAATGAAAATTTTGTGCCTGATAGTTTCCCCTGTAATGTCTGTTACCTAGCACTACCTTTACTGTTTTCTGGGGTAGTTTCCTTAAGTTACATGCATTGCTTTGCAAGTGTGCAGATACTTTCTACATATTTGAAAATAAAAACCCAAGGCATTCAGGTATTTCCCATAAATTACTCAGTTAAACTAACCTTCATAACAAAATAAGTATTTATCACAGGAAAACTATCAACACTGAGAAACTGGTTTTGAAACAAACTAGATAAATAATAGAGCAATTCAGCATGTACTTCTTTCAGTTTGATTGCTGCAAGTAAAAGTGTAATAGAGCCACTTTCTTCTACTAAGAGGTTTTCTTATGTATTGTATATCAAAATACATGCTTGAAAATGTTAAGTAATTCAAAACACATCCGTAATACAATCTTAAGTAAGTTTTTAATCAAGTAAAATAGTCAGTGTAATCCTTTAGGAGTCCTATACTTGGCATGCAAATAACTTTTTACACTGAAAATAAATTACACTTTGACAGCTTGTAAGTCATATGTTTAGATTAACTGTAGCAGCAAGCAAGTAGTATCTGATATGTTCTACTGCTAACTTTTTTTATTCCAGTGCTCACTAAAATGGCATAATCTAAAGTGCTTTAATAAACCTTAGTAGACAGAAGCTTAAGAACTTTCTTAGTACTTTGTATTTTATACAGATTATTTTCAATCTGAAATTGTAATGTGCTCCTCACAAGTGAGTTAATGAAATGGATCACCTAGAAACTGCTGTGTCAAAAGTTTTATAGATCTGTATCACTTGTAAAACAACATACACAGAAATACTGGCACATAGTACACCAATCACACTATTTTTTTGGTGATCTGGAAGACTGAGTGGCTCATAGAATTAATTTTCTTTTACAATACTTTAAGTATATCTGAGGAGAATGCGAATACTGCCAACACATTATGAAACTTCGATTCTAGTAGATTAGCAGACTTTTCAATGTATATTAAAAAAATAGCCATAGCGTACCGTATTTGCATGTTAGTAAGTTGAAAAGAAAGCATTTTTTGTCAAACTACTCAAAATTCCCCTGTTCCAGACTTGGCTCTGTATTTACGTGAATCAGCATTCATTTATTTCTAAATTTTTGTGTAACATCCACTGTAGCTGAGGAAACATTCCGAATATTCTCTTACATGGAAAGATGTAATGGAAATCACCAGATGTTAAGTATCTCATTTAACTGTCATCGAAAAAGTACTTCCCCAAAGAAAAGTGACCTCTGTTCACGCTACATACGTGTCTTATAAAATAAACAAAACAGATGCTTTCACTTAGGAGCTTGATTCTCTGCTGTGCTATCTCTATTCTATTTCAAGGGCTGTAAAGAAATCCCTACCGTCACCGGTTTTAGGTTATCGGAGCTTCACTGAACCCATCTCCACCAATAGAGCTGAGATCAGAGCCAGTCACTTGTGGCACTCCTGATGGCAGACCTCGCTCTGAGAGGTCTCACGGCAGTCACACTCACTACAGACAGAGCTATGCAGCAGCTGGGCCGACAAATTAGGGCCTCTCAGCTTGAATGAATGAATTTCATTTGATATACAAGGGGAAAAAAAAAAAAAAAAAGGTAATTAAAACATACTGGGGCGCACTTCTAAGCTCACTAACATTTATGTGTATTCAGAGCTGAAATGAGTGTAGTCTCTGTGGTGTAAATTAGACCATAGATATGCTTTGTAATTATTTAAGCATTTGGGTCTTAATGAACTGCCTGGTATTTACAGCCATTAACGCTTCCACATGGCGGCTGCAAATCCACTCTCACTCACAGCTTCAGGAAGCATCAGGCAGGCGGCAACCCCCCTTTCACCGAAACATCTGGCTACCGAGGCGAAACTCCTCCTCAGCCGGAGCTGCCCTTCTCTAATGCTGGGAAAGCATCACGGCAGGGGAAGCGCCCGCCAAGAGCGGGATCGGCAGCTGAAGGCAGGAGGGCGGGGGGGGGGACAGGACAGTGGGGACTGAAGAGGAGGAGTGCGGCTCCGCCGGGTGCTGGGGATTCCCGCCTCCCCCCGACCGCCAGGACTGGCTTGCCTGCGGGCGGCTGCTAAAGGCATCTCAGGCTGCCTCACAGCTCGCTGCCCGGGCTGGCGACCAGGTCCCCGGCCCGCTCCCCACCTCCCTGCCCAGCTGCTGCCGCGCCTGCGGGGGGACGCGACGCCCGCCGCTTCGGCGGGGTGGTCCCGTCGGTGCGGCTACACTGACGGGCTGATTGGCTGCCGAGGCGGAAAAGCGGAAGGGATGACAAATATTATAATGATGCTAATAATAACAATAATAATAATAAAGACCCCTGATTCCCCTTCCTGTGTGCTGTTTGTTGGTCCGGGTCCCTGCCTGCCTGCGGGGGTGGAGGGGGCGCTGACACGAGGCTGGAGAGGTCACTAAACCTGACGGTCGTGTCTGTTTGTGCCGGTGTGGGAGGGGGTGGAGGCGGGCACCGCAGCTCCCTCACCCGGCGTGTGTGGGTGCGTGGGTGGGTGCGTGTGCCTGTCGGGGGCCTCGAGGGGGTTGCGCGGACCACGGCAGCGCGGCGCGCAGCTCTTACCTGCTTGCTGTACTTGCTGCTGGCCTGGCAGCTGTACTCGGAGCAGTGGTCCGACCCGATGGAGATGTTGTCGCCGGCACCCACAAAGGTGTTGGCCGGGGGCAGGTCCTGCACGGCCTGGTGTTTTTTGCCAGAGGTAGGGGACTGCGGGTGCAGCTGGACGGTGGGCAGCGGCGAGCTTGACTTGTAGTGCCTGGCGAGGTCGGGGCTGCCTGGGCCACCATTGACTGAGCGGTACCGCCCCATACCAGGGCTGTCCGAGAGCTTCTCATTGACACTGTCATAGCGCTGCCCATTGGGCTTGGAAGCCTCGACGGTGACGATGCTGCTGTAGAGAGGTTGCTTGCCCTTCTTGCCTTTTTTGTCCTTCTTGGGCTTCTTGGCCTTGTCGTGCTGCTGCGGGGTGAAAAAATCCTCGTGGTCCTTCTTGCCAGCCTCATAGCCATGTTTGCCCTTGGAACGGCAGTAGCGGGCCATGACCACCACCAGGATGAGGAGGATGACTGTCATGATGCCGGCCACCACACCAATGACGATGCTAAGCCGCTGCTTGCTCAGCTCGTAGCTGGGGTCTCCAGCAATGTCCTGGGCCAGGGGTGTGTGGAGGCTGCGGGCCACCTGGCTTTCCACCACAGTGGCATTGGATAGGCTCTCATTGACGAAGACATGGAGCAGGGCAGTAGTAGACTGGGGAGGCTGCCCACTGTCATTCACCTGCACCACAATGCGATGCAGGCCATAGTGCTTGGGGGCCAGCTTGCCCACCAGTGACACCACACCACTGGCTGGGTCGATCTCAAAGAGTTTGAAGGGATTGCCCCCTATGATGCTGTAGTTGAGGTCAGCATTGAGACCGGTGTCAGCATCAGTGGCAACCACTGTGGCCACCACGGTGCGCATGTTGCTGGAGGGTGGCAGCACAGTATAAGAGCTGTTGCTGGGGAAGGTGACAGTGGGAGCATTGTCATTCTCATCCATCACAAACAGGGACACAGTGGCAGTGGCGGAGCGTGGGGGTTCACCCCCATCCACTGCCTTCACCTTAAAAGTGTAGCTGGTCTGCTGCTCTCGGTCAAAAGAGACAGTGGAGAAAATGGTTCCAGTGTCATTCTCAATGGAGAAGATGCCAGCTGTCTGGTCATGGTCACTGGGCTGGATGGAGAGGCTGAGCTCAGCGTTGCGGCCCTTGTCAAAGTCCATCACAGTCACCATGCCCACGGGGCTGTTGGGCTGCAGGTTCTCCTTCACATAGAAAGTGAACACATCCTGCATGAAGCGTGGCTCATTGTCATTGCGATCCGCCACCCGCACCACCACTGTAGTGGAGCCCTGTAGCGATGGCACCCCTTTGTCTCGGGCTGTCACCAGGAACTCGTAGGTATCACGTTGCTCACGGTCCAGCACTGCCTGCACTGACACGTCCCCAGAGTCAGGGTCAATGGTGAAGATGCCACCCGGTGCCTCCGAGGAGAGGGGTGAGGCCTCTAAGGAGTAGGTGATCTCAGCATTCTTACCACTGTCCGCATCTGTGGCAACTACTGTGGCCACCCTCTCGCCAGGCAAGTTGTTCTCTGGGAAGGAGACCTCCAGCACAGCCTGGCTGAACATGGGAGGGTTGTCATTAGTGTCCCCAACCCGCACCAGCAAGGAGTTGTTGCTGGACAAGCTGGGGCTGCCTGAGTCCACTGCCACGATCACCACGTTGTAGTCGCGGACAGCCTCATAGTCCAGAGGGGCTGAGGTATGGAGGAAATACTTGCGCTTGTTCTGCGGCTCCCCTTCACCCTCACTGGCAGGCTTGAGCTGGAAGGGCACATCGCCCACCACAGTGCACGTCACCACACCATTTTCACCTTGGTCTCGGTCTGACACCTGCACCAGAGCAATAGGGGTATCCACCAGCACATCCTCAGTCACGCTAGCCACCCCGTCCCGGAGTGGGATGCGTCCAATTTTCCGGATGTCAATGGTGGGCACGTTGTCATTCTCATCGCGGATGTTAAGCACGACTGTGGCCTTGTCTGTCTTGGGGGGCTGGCCCCGATCTCGAGCCATGACAGTGAAGCGAAGCTGGTTAACCTCCTCCCGGTCAATACGATGCAAGACACTGAGCCAGCCGGAGGGCTCGTCAAGCCGCAGCAGGCGTCTTA